AAGCAATGGTCCCTCTTGCATTTTGGGACCAGTTTCCCACACTATCCTGAAGGCTCAGGTCAAGTTAGCCTCCCATTATACTGAAAATGCAGACAAGTTAAGCTACTAAAAGTTGTTACAAGGCTCTTACAACAAGAAAGCATGGCGTTGCCATTACAAGTTGAGAATGATCTACAAAGGTCAAATGATTCATAGGATGAAAGCGTTTCAGAATAACCAAAGCTACTCTTTAGAAATAGGCAAATAGGGACTGATTTTGTGGTCTCACTAGATTCTACTTGTGCACTGGAGAAGCTGCATTCAATATTTGTGCAGGGGTGGGAGTGCCCTGGATTTGACAGCTGTCTTTCTATTGCAACCGCACAGAGAATGACAAGTTGCATGTGTGTATGAGCTACCACAGAGAGAACCATAGATATCATCTCAAATGTAGCCATCTTTGGGCTAGTTCATGTCCGCTTCTACATCACTTAGTTTCTCTGCACTTGACTGTATGATGTAGCAAGCCCAGGAGTATGAGCCATTTAGACCTGAATGGCCAACTCTTAGTTCCCCTAATCGCTGCCCCCCAGAAACCAAATCTCTGGAATAAATACAAAGTTTTGTGGGATTTTTAACTTCTTCAGGAACTATCAAAAGTAGAAGTGCCTAGCAATCCTGAATATTGTGAAAGGGCTTCTCTTAGAAACACAGAATCAGAATGGTAGAGTTGGATGTGGCCAGAAGGCCATCAGAACTGACCCTTTGCTCAGTGCAGGACTCCGGGCTAAACCATCCCTCTCAGATGGCTGTCCAGCTGCATCTTGAATGCCTCTAGTGTGGGAGAGCCCACGACCTCCCAGGGTAATTGGTTCCATTGTCGGACTGCTGTAGCAGTCAGGAAATTTTCCTGATATCTAGCCAGAATCTGGCTTGAGTCCATTATTCCATGTCCTGCACTCTGGGATGATCAAAAAGAGATCCTGTCCTTCCTCTTTGTGACAGCCTTTCAAGTACACATGGAGTGCTAGCCTTCCCTTCTAGAGGCCAGAGTCCTCAGTCTTCCCTCAAGGCTAGACAGGCGCTGCTCTTTTACTCTCCTCATGTGTCTTAACCCTTTCCAGCTTTTCCAGGTAAAACTTGTTTTAAACCACCATTTTACTGATGCTTCTGCTTCCAGAGTCTTTCAGGAATTAAAATTGGCTTTTTTGTATATTTTCTCCCATTAGGATTTTTCTTTCTGCTTTTGTATATGTTCCATTACATATCCATTACATATCCACAAAGTTGTGCTGTGGTAAAGCAGAATTGTGGAACATTTTGTAGCATTTTGTAGTTTGATAACCATTTAATAGCATGTTATCCTTATTCTTTAAAAGGCCATGGAAATTCTTAGAAAGCACAGGAGAGGCATGGGAGGAGAAGGCACCCATAAACTTCCACCCATGAAGCACCCATAAACTTCCACAGGTAAGAAATAATGAGAGCAAAATAAATGCCTAGTGTAGAGAAGCCCTCAGTCTATCAAAGGATGAAATGAGTTTTAGTTTTGCTTTTTTTGCTATTTCTCCCCCCCCCCCACCACCACTTTGTTATATTGAAATCAAATAAAGCTTTTCTTTGACTGAAATGCCAAGGTTGGTGGGGGAAGGGTGGGGCTTTTAAAAAATAAAATCTAACCAATGGATTACTCCGGGCCTGTAGTCAGGGTAGACCAGCACTAATGCTCCCTTATCGTCATTGTCATTGTTGTTCACAAACAAATCATTAGACAAACCATTTACAACTTTGCTTTTAAAAGGCTTGTGGGCCAAATGAACCGCCCTCCACCCCTTTGGTGCCCTTCCCAGAATGCTTAGGCTGACCGCAGGCCTGGATTTGCTGTTACACTTTCTTTTGCCATTTGTCCAAATTACAAGCTTGTAAATGGAAGTCAAAAGAAGTGAGGGCCTCCCCTACCAACCCTTGCTTGGTTTCTCAGCAAGGGTAGCATAAAGGCTGTCACCGCCCTGAGGAAACCACTGCTTCTATGACACCCCTCCTGGCGCAAGCTTCTTCCGTACCCTGGGCCTGCCTTCTATAATCCCCAGTTTCCCCTGAGGGTTTGAGTGTTTCCTTTCAACTTGGCCTGCACCATTTCACAGTGTATGCACAGTAGCGTGTTAGTGAATGCTCCTGTACATTAAACATTCCTAGCACATAGAAATCCAAGCAGCAGAAGAAAGGCTGGGAGAGGCTCTTTCTCCTGGCTGTGCTAGCAGAATGCCAGGGTGTGCCAGCATTTTACCTCCTTGTTTTGGTATATGTGTGCGTGCACATGTGTGCTTACTTAAAATAGAAAAAAACCCTACCAACCTCAGGTATGTACTGCCAGAATGGGTTTAGTTTTGGTCTACCTGATGGGGGTGGTCCCTTTTTGCCTAGATGTTATTTGAATTAATTTTGTAGAGAATGCATCATTAGAAATCAAAGGTACATCCTTAAATACATTAATTACATTCCATTAGTATGGAAACTCTCTGAAAGTAAAAGGAAATGGATCATGTGGGCCTTCATGATTACAAAGAGGATGATTGTTCAAGGCCAGAAAGACAAATTCAGCCCACCCATAATTTATTGGACAGAAGGGTTTACAACTGGCAATTTTTGGAAAAAATACTATCACCAACAGGTCTGTTTCAACAAACACATGGACAGTTGGCATGTGTGTTTAGAGTTCTATGTGTCATGGAAATGAAACAGCAAAGCACAGCATGTGATTATTCAGGATTTGTCTTTTGATTTTGTTTGTTTAAATTATTACTCATGTTTCTGTTGCAGTTTACTTACTGTGTTAGAGGTCCTGTGATGAATGTGTCTCATTTTCAAATTGAATAAATAAATAGCTTTTTTAAAAAGAGTCAGAGCAGGACAAAATGAATTATATAATGATTTTTGGTTGTGAACCTTAAATTACAGCTCAACGTATCCAGTTGATTTTTGGAAGATGGAATTTTTGAGCAAAGGAGAAAATGCAGTTTTATTTGGGAGTAAGCACCATCAAACTTAATGGAGCTTGCTTGTGAGTAAACATGCTTAAGTGGTACACATTTCAGAGGCTCCTACCAAGGGCTTGGGTTCCACACAACTTATGCAATAGGTCTTCCCTATTGTCTCCTCCCCACAGATCTGTTCCAGAGGGTTTCCCACCCCAGAGCAGATCTGGGATGCACATGGAATGCTGCAGGTGGAGGGGAAATCCAGTTGAGTGGTGGAATGACACTACTGGATCCAACCTATGGGCAGAATTCAGGGTTCACAAACCTTTTCAGAATTCTCGCAGCTTGATGGTTGTGGCAACAAAATGAACGCAGTTCCTATATGTTGTGTCTTGCCATTCGATCGGCTGACAGAGCCTTTGGGAGCTGGTGGACAGAAGCTCACCTAAGCAGGGCATTTTCCTTGGAAGGTGACCCTATCTGTTGGATGTTGCACTATTTTGCATTTACCATACAATCCGTACACACAGCTGTGGATGAAAAGAGGAGGGAGCTGCAAGTTCTGCTTGCCAAGGACTGTAGCTGGTTGACAAATTAGCAATACCTGCAGCGCCTTGAAGGAAGCAGTCTCCAAAAAGCTTAGACAGCAACCAGTGTCTGTGCCAGATCCAGGTTCCCCTTCAAAACTGTGTAAGGGCACCAATTCAATTCTTGCCAGAGGTGGAGCTGGGGATCAACATATTGGCAGGCAGGCCGCCCACCCCTCATACAGCGCGCCATTAATCAAAGGCTTCTCTGACACATGGCAGGCAGCCGTTCCAAGATTACTACTCTTTTGGAGCTCTCCTGAACAAAGCTAGAGAACAGAGGGGGAAGGCTGCCTTTGTCACAAGTCTGGCAAAAATCCACTTGCAAAGGTTTTCTTTGAAGCACAGCTGCTTGGGGATTTCTGTAGACAAGCGGTGACAAATTTTCCAGTAGGGTTCTATCCTCTAAAGCACAATAGCATTGTGAATATATATATATATGCCTATTTGATCCCTTTGGATTTTTCTTAAGGGAAAAGATACAAAGTGGGCCCTACTTTGTTGCTGGGGTCCCTGAGGGTTTGGTTCACCTAGTATGTTTTATGCAGGCTTCTCCACTTGCCAGCATTCTCAGGCTGCAACATTTCGTCAAGGGAAAAATGCCAATTTCCTATCTCCTAGTGCCATCTACGACGATCACGCCTGCAGCATGGGATGTGGTGATGCAAGCCTCACAGGCAACCATAATGTAACTGACAGTGACCACCATGGTGCCTCAGCCATGCCTATGACTTGACAGCCTGCCTGCCCTCTTGCATACCACTGCAGTAATCCATATCCCCACACAGCAGACCACACTAGATCCTTTCCCTGGATCAGTGCCCTGGTATTTCATGAACTTCTGGCTACTGTGCTTCCTTCTCAACTCTCTTAAGGCTGTAGGCTCCTGCAATGTGCTGATGGAGCACAAACTTCCTTATGGGAGATGACTGCAAGGACTCCTCTCCCCAGCAGCACAGGGGGATTCCCACTATTTATTAATTATATTTCTATACCACCTTTCCCTGCAAAGAACCTAAGGCAGCTCACATAATGGTCCTCTCTCCATTTTATCCTCACAACAACCCTGTGTGGTAGGTTAGGGCTGAGAGTCAGTGACTGGCCCAGAGTCTCTCATGGCTGAGTAGGAGCTAAAACCTGGATCTTCCAAGTCTCCGTCTGGCACCCATTGCTATGCCAGGCTGACTCTTCAGTGTGTGGCAATACCTCTCCCTGCCTCCTTCCCAGTAGCTGCCATGGCAGGGCTGCAGAGTCGCTTGGATCAAATTCCTCAGGGATCCCCATTCATACCGATTGGCTACCCGTGCTGGCAAAATATTGTTTTGCCCTAAGCACTGTGCCCATCACTGTGTTCTTTTGCAAATGCTGCCATCTTTTCCCTTTTTGTCCCAGATTTTTCTTTCTCCCCCTCCGCTCCACACACATGCATCTTAAAGAAGAAAACTGACACTGGCTGTTAAAACATCTATTAGGAATTTATTACAACACATTGTTCCCAAATACAAAAGAAAGGAAAAGAAAGAGAGGGTAAAAAAGCACTGCTGTTTACAGCCTCCAGTAATAAATAACTACAGTCAAAGCAGGGGCAGAGTGCATCACTTCAGCCCTGCCAAGCAACATCCAAAGTCAGCATTCCTTGAGCAGGCAGAAGGGGACAATGCATTTTGGTTACCATGACTCATGAGAGAGGGGAGGGAACACACGCACAGACTGGATGCAAGATGCCTATCCCTACCCAGCCCTGTCCCACCCCACCCCGCACAGTACTCAGAATTAACTTCTGGAATACACAGATGTCCATTTTCAATCCCCAATCCAAGGGTGGTCCTCGCTAATGAATCGCCCCATCTGCAAACATCCTGTGCACCTCTTCTGTATAAGGACTTTCACAGTTCTGCACCTGTATGAGGTGGACTGACATTGCACCCCCTGCTTAATCTCTGTCCAAGAACGTTTAAAAGATAGGAGAGCTTCTGGAATAGAAATGTGGAACTGCAGACAAGAGAACAAAAGGGACTCTATGCATGCCTCCTGAGAAGTTAGGCTAACTCATTTTCTCAACTCTTTCCAAAAGAATTTTGAGCAGCAATAAGTGATGTGACAAACTGCGATGGGAAGTCCATATTCTGCACCTCCTCCCACAACCCATGCAGCGTTGTTGCTTTTAATGGCAAAACACTGTCTATGGCTGTTCTAAATGAATTCTTACCAAGATTGGTTAGGAAAGTACTGTGGCAGGAAGGTGACTTACAGGAGGCACACAGGCAAAAGGGCTTTCTCCATAGATGCTTTCTGCAATACTGATATTCATTTCCAATGCTAGGAAGGGAAACACTTGCTCCTTTCCTCTGTTAGCAATATAGGAATGTTGAGATAACAGTAACCAGTAAAAACACATTTGGCAGCTTTTGCCACCCCAGAGCCATTGACAAATTTGGGGTGCAGGCGGGAGATGGGAAGTCTCTTCCCAAGCAGCAACAAACCTCAGTTTCTTCAGTACAGTAGAGGTGTTTCAGAGTTGCTCATAATCTGGAACCATATAAAAATACCTGAAAACTTTTGGTCTTATTAGGGCTGTCATCCTAAATACATTTACTTAGAAGTGTTCCGCTGTAATCTGTAAGACTTTAGAATGGAATCACCTATGACCCTCTCTTGCTGTAGATGGGATTTTGACGTTTGCTAATGTGGAAGAGAAACCAGGAAGGGATCAGTATTTTACATTGGCATTATGGACTTAAGTCATGCAAGAAATGCTTTAAGCTTCCATTGTGTCAATGTCCTTACACCCAAGTAATCACTCTGGATCAGGCCAATCTAGATGTTCATAACACTTTGAACTCATAGGATTATGGTCATCCTATGCAGGGTGAGAGAAGCACTAAGGCAAAGGTTGCCTCTGCACTTCTTCCACCCTGCAAAATATCCAGGCAACCAATCTTTGCTCAATGTTATAGTGGGAGGGAAAGAAGCTGAGGCACTGCCAGGACATCTCACATCATGGTGCCACTGGTCTCCTCTGCTCCTCTCCCCAGCCCCAGAACACCCACTCAACACTTTCTCCAAGGTTGCATCTGTGACCTTACAGAAGCAGCTGGCGCAGCTGTTTCCCTACCAGCAGGGTGGAGGGAGGCTGTTTCAAACTCAGAATTGTAGTTCCAAGATTGGAGTGTTGTTTCCAGCATGAGCTAGGAGTCTGAATAATCTTCTGGCCATCCAGGTGCAGTCTAGCTACCAGAGGATTCCACTGTCGGTCTCCTGCAGCCTGTACAGACCAATGTAAACTGAACCCTAGGCAATCTAATTCGTAATGCAGAATGGAAATTCTAGAGGGCAGTCAAATCCACACAGGCTTTCTGATGGGATTTGGGGCCTAAATGCTACATCATTTAAACTGTTCCTGGCAGAAGCACAGTTTCTGGCTTCTGTTACTGAGGGTCAATCTATACTATAGCTACTGATATTGCAATGTGGCTTCAAAGGAAATGTGGACATCAGTTTCTTGAGGATGCAAATAATTTTTTGTTTTGAGTTCTTTACATTTGTACTACAATTTCTAGGGTTACCTGTGGAGAAATTCATCACACTGAAAACGGTTTGTGCTGCAGACATGCTCTGGGATACAAGAAACCTGGAACACATTGCTACTGTATCTCCTGAAGTACTACTTAACCGTATGAAATTATTTTAAAATGCTCTTTCTCCCTACAAACCTCAGTAGATTTGAGAAAGCTTCTGCTTATGGCAGCACTTTGCAGAGTCTACACCTCTCCAAACTCCACAAGCACAGATCCTTCTCTATCGCCTCTGAATCAAGACATCCAATGACCGGGCATGCCACAGTACTGACCAGCCTTTTCCTATGACTGGAGCCAGGGAAGGCAGAGATGGAAAAGGTCTGCATATACTCACAACAGAGAAACAAAGATCAACATACACAGAAGCAAAATTACATAATATAATAAATACTTAAAACTGTAATTCATACATTGCAATTACAACATTGATAGCTTATTATCATTAGCATTAGGATCAGGAGGAAAGCAAGAAAGATCTCCTTTTATAAGGGGTTGATGTCCAGTAGAGGAGACAGAGCACATGGGCTACAGGGAGAAACAAAAGGTAAAGAAATAATAAATAAAACCAGAGATCACACATGAGAGAACAGGTAGAGGGGCAAAGAAGCACAGCACAGACTTAAAACAAAACCCCTTTTTGTCACAAGCAGAAGATGCTGTAAGCCAGAAATTCACAATGTAAGTCCTGGGTGGTTTCAGCCTTCTATTTTTGCATATAAAGTGAAGTCAAAGTGGTACACTGCTGTTATTTATTTTTTAAGACACAGAGGTGGAGGGTTAGTGGCAGGAAAATGGCAGCTCTCCAGAATCTGCCTCCCACAGTAAACTACACCATGGTAAGGCAGGCTTGGATTTTGGGCTTCAAGATTAGTATTATTGACTCCTTAACCCTGTGTTTCCCACAAACATTCAGCTCTACATGGAGCTTGGCTTAAGTCCAGGTTGCAGCATCTGAGGATTGTTGTTGTTGTCCTTACCTTTAAACAAAGTTCAAAGCCCTTATTTGCATCCTGGAAGAAGCTTGTTTCACAGCAACACAGACAATCTAATATTATTCTGATTGCCCACAAGCATAATCTATTTGGAGTTCCCAGACTCCCATTTCTGAATTCATGCATGTGGCTTTGGTTCTCACTAATGCTGCTATTAACTCAAGTGACTATACTACAGACACCCATGAAGATCAAGGGTGGGCAACTTCTGGCCCACTAGATGATGTTGGATTGCAAATCAAAATAGCCATCTGTAAGCAGCTTAGCCTTTGGTGAGGGATGAAGGGTGCTGCAACAACTGGAAGGCCAGAAGTTGTCCACCCCAGTGTAGACAAAGAATTAACATACCAGACCTGGATGCTGCTGCTGATACTTCAGCATCAATGTGTTGGTTGACAAGAACCAGGGAATTAAATGATTATACTCGTAATAAATAATACTATGTTTTTTTTCAAGGTAAAGCTGTACTAAATTGATGGAGTTCTGACTCAGAACCTACAGAAGGTACATAGGTCAAGTCAACACACAATGACAGTGTACTGTGGGTTAATCTCCCTGTGAGGAGCTGTGGTGTATGCCAGATGCACTTATGAATACAGAAGCATGGGACAGGAATTACTGTGGCTTGTCATGTGATGCAACCCTGGTGAGTGGGGGTTACATGCAAGTTAAACCACCATTGCACACCCTGAAAACAAACCATGGGTTCTGCAAATGTTGTTCAACCCTCAAATAAACCCTGCTGGTCAGGCTCACATGACACAAGCCACACCACAACCCCAGCCAAGGCTTGCATATTCATAAAGATGAACATGTGCTGTGGCACCGGGGTGGTTAATCAACCCACAGGGCCTATCTGGCTATCTAACCAGGGCAGAGATGTCTGCTGAGCTCAGTAGAACAAGCTTAGTGGATTATTTCTATTTTCACTACAGGTGAAGATTCTCTACAAGGTACTGTTCCTAATGGTAAGGTAGCCCTATGTGGACCTGGTAAAAAGAAAATATCAAAGGTCAGCAAAAAAGAAAAACAAATTGATCCTTAGAGGGAGGACGCATTTTTTCACCATTTTAAGTGACTCTGTATTACCTGATGTTCTTCTCGCTCTGCTTGAAAATTACCAGATTTTTTTTGTCTATTTATCCTGCAATGTTCACAGAAAAAAGTTCCAAATGGAACTTTCAGCTCAGATTTCCTTTTAGCTCAGATTGGCCTGTTCCCCCAATCCCCATGAAACAAATTATCAGGCAGGCTCACCTGAATACCCACATTATCTCCCCTGCAAGACACCTTTTTATTTTGGGGTGATCTATTTCTCCAGAATGACAGCAGGTGACAGCTCTTCAAAGCCAGCAACTGTTCACTTTCTTTCCATACTGAACAGGTTTGTTGCTCAAGTGTGCAAGGAAGTGGCAGTGATGACTTAAGTCAGGTTGTGAAATGAACGAAGTTTTGTCTGACAGGATTCACAGTAGCACTTTTCTGTAATCCCAGCATGTAATCTTTTTCATGATTCTGTCCTTGGGGTCCTTGGAAAATCTGTACACTGGTAATACAGAATAGCTTTTTTAAAAAGTAGAGTCCAAACTGCAAATCTATGTAACAAAGCAGAGGACAACACTGAGAATATTCTAAGTTTAGAGCAGGCATGTCAAACTTCTTTTAGCTCCAGAGCATTCTTTGAAGCCATACTTCTGGGGGTGGGGAGACGAGATAGGGCCAGAATACTGACAAACTTCAGCTTAAAGTTCTTATTGCCAGTAACAAAGGCATAGGAGAGGCACTTAAACCTTTTAAGCCAGGAAAAGACCTGCACAAAATTTGGGAAACCATCAAGATTTGTGATTGAGGGAAAGGGGTGGAGCTAGGGAGGGGTCCGGCAGCCTGGGATCACCTGATGGGCAGATTTTGTCCCTTTGCCTGAGGTTCTGCATGCCTGGTTCAGAGTATAAGCTGAGAATTATAGACGTGGGCTCAGTTTACAGCTCCAAAGAACGGTACGAATCAGGCTTGCATTGCAGTGATGTCACAATACCTCACAAATTGATCCAAATGCCAAGGAACAGGGTCACTGCATCCACGTCATGGCCAAGGAGGTAGTGTTTTCCAGGCCAATCCCTATTACCATTTCCCAAGGATGCTGACGTGCATCTTTGAACCCATTTTATAAATCCACAAGGCATGTAAATAGCTATTTTTTAATCCCTTGTGTACTTTTGCAATAGAAGCTAGGGCTGCAATTTAGTTGCGGCAGGATGAAACCCTGGGGACGGACTGCCAAGCTTTATACATTTCATCCTTCTTGTTTACTGTGCACAATCTTTTTCCACTGTTTGTGATGGCAGTGCTTCACCTAGATCACAAACTGTTCTTCCCTGTAGCAGCATGTGTTCCCATCAGCAATAGGATGTTCTTATCCTGTTGGTCCCACAGAAAAAGAGGCACTGAAGAGATGCATAGAGCAGTTCTTAATGGGTAGGGCTGTGCAAGGAAGTTGGGCTTTGGGTGCACGGACTGCCATTTTCTACCTATCCTAATTGTAAATGCAGTTGAAGGAGAAACCCTTAATCACAGGGTTGTTGTGATGATAAAATGGGCAAACCCGCATCTGTGCCAGTATTAGCTTCACGAAGTTTGGGACACATATCCAACAATTGGCAGATTTACCACTAGGAACTGAAAAATCACTACTGAGCCACCCTTAAGCTTGGAGTAATATTTACTAGACAGACTGTCTCTCAAAAAGGAGTAGAATAGAGTATTTCCTCATACATATCAGGTGGAAGACTCAAGGAGCACATAACCAAGATAATTTAATACTGGTCAACATATCTGAACCACATTTTCTTGCCACAACTTTGATGCGTGCTTATAGATGAAATGAGGATTCTGAGCTTTTATCCCAGTGATAGGCAACATACGGTCCCCCTAAAGTTGTGGCATGGGCTGACTTACATCATCCTTAACCGGCACAGCCAATAGTGAAATATGATGGGAGTTACAGGCCAAAACTTCTGAAGGACCATATTGCTTGCTCCTGATTTGGCATCTGTGAACATGCAACCAGACTCCAGACAGATTGAACAACAGTTGAAGGGTATAATCTTCTTTGCATCCTAAGAGGGGGTCAATGGATTTGTTTTAATGGCTGAACTCCCAATGTATGAACCCAAATCTGCCCAGGTTCTCTGCCACACTACTTCCAAAACACTACAAAGGTCAGCAGGATCACTTCTGAGCTTGCAGCATCTCATTTGAACATAGCTTGGTAAAATAAGCATCATGAGGTCTCTACTGTGTGTCTTTGTAGAGTACATACAGCAATTTCTATAGTAAGGAACATAAAACCCTATGTAAAAGTGTGTTACTCTCACTCCCTGTGATTTTTGTTTGTTTGCAAGTTTTGAACCTGAGATTGTTATTTTTGTTTTGTGTAGGACTTATTTTTTAAATTACAATTCAACAAGAAAGTAAATGGGAAAATGAACTTAAAAGAATCTCAAATAAATTGTTTTTTTAAAAAGTGACACAAAGAACCCTGAGGTATTGGCTCAAAAAACCAGCATGTGATACAAAAGGAGCAAATGCAAAATTGGTTACATAAAGATGTGCTTTCAGCTTGCAGAGAGACAGCTCTGTGTCTTTGTTCCCAAAGGGTGAAGCAGCAATGCAAAGTCTCAGTGTAGGGTGTTTTTGAACTGATGCCTCTGCTGCCCCCATAAGGGAAGAAGTACAGCACAGCTAACAGAGCAAATCCATGCCGCCCCCTTCCACTCTTCCGTTCTGACCTGCTCATTTATTCTCCTGCTCTAGGATTCCATTTCGTACCAGTGAAGGCCAGTGTAAAAAATACAAAGATCCCAGTGGAAGTCTTTGAAAAATACTTCATGCAGAGGCTGTAATATTTCTTAATTCCTACATACCATATGGACCAGTAGCCCAATCATATGGATAGCCTTCACACCAGCAGTCACTGGGAGATGGAAACTCTCCATGTGATTGGACCCATCTGCACAGTTCGCTGTTGACCAATGTTACTACCCCTCTGGAAAACCATGCATTGCGCACAGCCATTCTTTTAAGCAACCGCCTTGTGAGGGACATAATATTGACTCTGCCCTAATGTGGGTAATGGAAACCAATTCTTGCTCCTTCCTCACTGGGAGCCCTCCTTACAACAAAGCACAAAGCCTTCCTCAACCTGGTTTAAGTTCAGCACATCTGGGGGACAACTTTCCAAATCCTCCAGTCAGCATAGCTGAAGATAGTGGGAGCTGGAGTCCAACAGATCTGGAGGGTGTTGGATGGAGGGCAGCTGAAATGGGTGAGCAAAAGTCTGCCAGTGAAGAATGACAAATTGTAAGTTACTTAACTCATTCTTACACTGGTGGTGGTGTGTTGAATTATCCACTTCTGTCTTGAGTTGGCCTACCCTTGCTCAATGTCTTTTGGCTTCATTTTAAAGAAGGTGCTGGATGAATCCTTTCTCTATTTCTCTGCATTAAAAAAAAGAAATCCTTGGCAGGAGGATTTATTCCATCCAAACAATTCCCAACAAGGAAAGTCAGGTGTGGCTTTTAGAACTAGATTTCTTGTGCTGGAAATATCCAAGCCAAGCCTCTGGTTTTCTCAAATACAAGACGAATAAGATCCATAGTCAAAGGGAACTGCTTACCAAAATGCTAAGAGGCTGTCGGATGATGAGTGCAGAAGGTGGGAACTGAGGATGGACTGCTGCATCCTTCACACTACAGCTCAAACACTACCTGTCCTTTCTAGGGCCTCCTGGCTTGAAAGGCTATTTAGTGTGGTCTTTTGCTGGCTCAACTTTGTCTCTGGGCTGCTTCCTCACTGGCAGATCTGCATTCACTGGGAAATCCATGCTTGCAGGAACTCTGTTAGATGGCATGTGTGTACTTAGACTAAACACAGAATTTATGCTAGAGTACTGGAGCCAAAGTACCAACTCTTGCAATAGTAAGTGGGCACTACCTTGCAATGGGATCTCTACAACAGGCCTGAGGACCTTAAAGGGATTTGTATTCTAGTACCACAAAAGCAGGTCTTAGGTCCGAAAGCTATACCCCAACCCAACCCCTTCCACAAAACCTGTGAGAGCCCAGTTCTAACACTGTTTGAGTAAAAGCAGCATCTGAATGACCATTCACAATAGTCCCCCATTTGTAAGGGCAGGGGATGACCCATTTGTCACCTTAACTCATCTAGGAGATGCCCTGAGCTACTGGAAAGGGATACATCCCCTGGGAATTCTACCCCAGGTCTGATATGCTCCCTCTCTAGAGAGCAATTTAAAGAAAAGGGAAGAAAACTCAAATATAGCTCTGCCGATGCAGCCTGCTGCCCCCTCCTTACTCGAGGACTCCCTTTTCTTAATAGCTACACAAGTGCCTGGCCTCACAACCCCAACCCCACGATCCCCCACCCGAGCCCAGCAGGGGAAAGTTTTATGGCTTTGATTGCAAATGCGATAGAAGTAGGAAGTAGGATAAATAAGCATTAAGAAGGATTCCTGGCTCAGTTTGTGTTGAACATATTCTCACTTTTCCTTTTAAATAAAAGTGCGTACACACGCACACACACGCACACGCACGCACACAGATTTCTCATCCAACTTTTTGGGATGTCTGTGCCACTGATGTGAGTCATAGAATGAGCCACAAGCCTAGGATATTGCTTTGAAACTCTTGTTTCAGATTTAAATACGATACACAGTAAAAACAGAGCTGGAAGTACCGCCCCTACATTGTCTGAAAATCATTGCCAGAATGAACAGCTTCAAATAAATTAAAAAGAAAAGTTGAAATATTATTTGTCTCAATAAAAACTGTAGTAAAACCATTTAAACTTTGTCTTTGTGTTCTCTCTCTCTCTCTCTCTCTTATATTATATATAATATATATTTATATATGTATAGGGCTGCTCTAGTGCAGCATCAAAGAATATTAGCCAGAGAAACACTGAGGAGCATGCTCAGTATGGATGGTGGGTGGGGGAGAGATACAGAGGAAAGCCTCAGAAAATTAGTCCTTCTATGTCTCTGCACCCCAATCAGTGAAGGAGCCACCAATATAATGTCCAACCCTGATGGAATGGAAGGGCAACTCCCTTCCTGTAATGGGAGGGGATGGACAAAATCTTAGTCATTTCCTATAGGTTAGGTAGGAATGTATTATTAACAATTGGTAAAGCACTCTTAAAAGAAAAGAACCTGCTTCCCTTTAACTTCCCCCAATGCAAATCTGCAGCTCAAAACAATAATCTTCCTTCAGGAAAACTTTCAATCGGTGGAAGTCTTACAAATCTAATACCTCCACAGTTTCTCTTTCACCCCATCTTTGACGTCACACCACAGCTCTCCATATTCCCCGGTAAGGGGGTGGGAAATGGGGAAGCACTATCCGCATGCAGAAGCAAAGGATCCCAGATGCAAAGTGTTAATGGACCCTCCACCTGCCAAAGAGGGAATGTGGCTGTGGTTCATCTTGGTGGTGGAGGCAGGGACCAAAGGGGGCACTAAGCATGCACCATTATGTTTCTTGACTTTGGATTTATTTAGCTTCGCCTTCGGTTTTAGCATGTGTGCCCTTTGGAAATGCACACAGGCATATAAATAGCGCTCCCACACCCACCCCTGCTCCCGCTCCCGCCCCACCCGCCCCTTCTTCTCCCCAGTTAAATATCTTTTGCCAGCTTTCCCCCGCCCACCCACCAATGCACGCACACTCGCTCTCAAATCTCACAAGGTGAATGTCAGGACACCTCTATGATTTCCATGCTGCCTGAAAAGCTAGACTGTTTGCTGATTTTGCCCAGGTCCTCCCGAGAGCGGCTCTCAGACAGGGTCTCCTCAAACTCCATCTGGCAGCTCCTTCTCTTGAACTGCTTCTCGGCTGTGGTGTCCTCGTGCCAACTGTGCCGCACGTCCCGCTGCTCCGCTCGCTGCTTGTCCCTCAGCCGGATCTCACAGCTGGCCTGGATTGTGCTGCAGCTGAATGAAGAGTAACTGGTGGCGCTGGCAAACAGAGCCCCGCTCCCGCTGCCTTTGCTGCCTGCTGCCGAGTCCGTGCTGAAGTACCAGGGGTTCTCCGATGAGGGGGTGCCGGGCGATTCCAAGTGCACACCCCAGGACCCAGCAGGGGTTGGGGTGGTGGCTGGCTGTGCCAGCTGCTGCCCCACGCTGGGGAGGCTCAGCCGAAGGGTCTGCTTGAGACTGTCCTCCACACTGGTGCTTTTGTGCATGGCACACACCCCGGTGAAGTTAAGGCTCAGCCCGTGGGCGGGGGAGCCTGCTTGGTGCCTGTGCTTGCGCCTCTGTCGTACTTTGGCCTCTAGCAGGAAGTCGGGCCCACTGGACCAGTCAGGACTGTCAGGAAGGGGAGAGAACTGACATGTACCGTTGGGACCTGAAGGGCTGTCCAACTTGCAGAGCTTGGGAGTTTCCCCTGCCTCTGCAGGTCCTGGGGCATCCTGCCTCTGGCTTGGAGAGTAGGCTGACTTGATGTCCAGGGAGAAGGAGCGCTTCAGCCGGTTGGTGTCTTGGATGCGTTCTGAAGATAAGTGTAGCCCGTTGAGTCCTTGCTGTAATGCCGCAGGTGAGACAACCTTGGGAACCCCTGATGGTCTCTCGGAGTCAACTGAGGAACTTTCCAAGGCTGTGCTTCTTAACAGCTCCTCTGCCTTTTCTGAGGTAGACAGAGTCTGGTGACGGATGCCTTCAGGTGGGTCTTGCTGCGATTCCTCCTCACTCTTTTCCCCATGGGCTTTCAAAGCCTTAAGCAGTTTCAGGCTTCTCTCATACTCTAGGAGCTGACCCAAGAAGTTGAAGTTGGGAGATATGGAGGGACGTCGGTCTTTGACAAACCTGCCAATGCAAAAGAGTAGTCATATTTCTTGCTTGGCTCATTCTCATTTCAAAGGTATGACTTACCAGAGAATGAATGCAATGTGTTACTTTAAAAATTTCTCCCTGTCTGGCAGCAGTGTGTGTAAGCCCAATTTATCCAGCCTCCAGGCTCATACATCTAACTATGAAAACTGCCTGAACATGTTGGGTTTTTCTCTATAGACAGCTACTGTCTCATTCAGATTTTGCATGCTGCCACTTACAGCTAAACAACCACATTTGCTGTGAGCCACAAGATGTTTCAACTACCATCTGAAGGCAGATCCCTGGATCCAGTTAGCTCAAGGCCAGGAGCCAATTTGCCAATGAAATTCAAGTGGCCATCACCAGTGTGACAGTTATACAAACCAAGTTTCCTAAGAAACTGGCAACAGAGAAACTCAGCACTCTTGGGTCCTAGTAAGCACTTGTAAATTTCAGCACATGAGCACAGAGCTTGTGCAATAGTGTTCTGTTGTGCTTGTTACCTAGTACACTTTTGAGATGTGCCTCTCAAGGCAAAACATGCTAAAATGTAGTTTTACAAAACCCCTTTGAAGGACTTGAAATAAAAAAAACCAAAGAACAAAACCTCCATTCACACCAAGATGCCAAGTGTATTCCACTTAGCTAGGCAAAGGACAAATTAGCACATTCTTCCTCTGGAAAGCGACCTACCGGTAGGCGTCGTCAGAAGACATTCCCATGGTCTTCATGATGTATGCAATGGCAATGGTAGCAGACCGGGAGATCCCTGCCAAGCAGTGCACAATCACCTGGCAACTGGATACCTTGGCTTTGTCTGCAGCAGGAAAAGGCACCTTTTAGGGCAATGTTGTCCTTTCTTTATTACTGTTACCACAATGTTTTCACGTAGCAAAACACATACATTACATAAAAATTACATTTAATGAGAATCACAGAAGGTTCAATATAACAACAGTTTTATATTTATCCACAGAATTTCACCAGGCGTTTAAGATTTAGTTGTAATTATCTAAATGCTTATTTCCATATCTTACCATGACTTGCTAGTAATTGTTCTCTAGGAACTCTGATTGTTAGTAAAGGCAATAAATTTATACCAAGTTATATAGGAGAGATCAGATTCTTTTTGTTGCTTTTGTGCTCTTATCTGTTAGTTCATTTTTTAGCTAACACAATCTTCCAGAGATAGATACTACATAGCTAGTAGAAACATAGAAAACAGAGCGAGTCAGAAGGGGCCTCCTGGGCCATCTAGTCTGACCTCCAGCACCAGCCGGCTCTGCTCACGACATGCCCACCATGTGGACATCCAGCTTATCCTTGAACACCAGCACTGATGGGGCCTCAACCACCTCCCGGGGAAGCCCATTCCACACACTCAGGGTCCTGACTGTCAGGAAGTGCTTCCTGGCATCCAAATGGAACCTTGACTCCCTGAGCTTTGCTCCGTTGGACGCATCCTGCTTTCCTCTGCAAGGGAGAACAGGTCTCTACCCATCTCCTTGTGACATCCCCTCACATACCTGTATGTTGCCAACATATCCCCTCTGAATCTCCTCTTTTCCAGACTGAAGAGACCCAGTTCCCTCAGTCTCGCCTCATACGGCATCCCCTGCAAACCGGCCATCAACCTTGTGGCCCTACGCTGCACTGACTCTAACCTGACTATATCCTTTCTGTAATGAGGAGCCCAAAACTGAACACTTTACTCCAGTTGCGGGCGCACTAGAGTCGTGTAGAGTGGTAGTAATACCTCTCTTGATCTAGAAGCCACACTTCTGGCTATGCAACCAAGGGTGGCGTTCGCCCTCTTGACCACCACATCACACTGCTGACTCATGTTTAGCCTGCAGTCAACCAGTACCCCAAGGTCCCTTTCACAAGTGCTGCTCTCCAGCCACTTATCACCTAACCTGTACTTATGACAGCTATTCCTATGCCCCAAGTGCAAGACCTTGCACTTATCCACACTGAACGCCATCCTGTTGTCTCCTGCCCACTTCCATAGTCTGTCCAGATCCTTTTGGATCTGGAGTACCTGCTCCTCAGTTGTGGCCACTGCTCCAGTTTTAGTGTCGTCTGCAAATTTGATCAGCAGAATGTTCACCCCTTCTTCCATGTCATTAATGAAAGGATTAAACAGGATCGGACCCAGGACAGAGCCCTGGGGGACCCCGCTTGTCACTGGCCGCCATCCCGATGATTCCCCATTAATGGTTACCTTCGGCTTTCGGTCAGTCAACCATGCCCTAATCCACTGGACAGTGCTTTGGTGTATCCCAAAACTCCTCAGTTTTTCCACCAGGATATCATGGGGCACTTTGTCAAAGGCCTTGCTGAAATCCAGGTATACCACATCCACCGCATCCCCTCCATCTAGCCATCGCAAAACCTTGTCATAGAATTCCACAAGGTTTGTCTGGCAGGACCTGTTTTTGCGGAAGCCGTGTTGTGTGGCTGTCAGCCTCCCTTCCCTATCTAGCATCACTAGATCTCTTGCTATTATGAGCCTTTCCATTGTTTTTCCTACAATGGACGTAAGGCTAACCGGTCTATAATTCCCCATGTCCTTTCTACTACCCTTTTTGAAAATTGGGACCACTGATGCCACCCTCCAGTAAATGTATATATCAGGCCACTAAAGGTAACTAATGGGATCCACGTGTACCTCCTCCACCCTTCAGAAGCTATGTATATGTCCATATTCCCAGCATATATGAAGGTACATCCCTAATATACTTCATCTCCCACAACAGTATGGTGATGTTTAGTATATATGATTTAAATTTAGCAGGGATAAATAGTCCCTATTGTTACCTTCAAGGAGTTTTCCCTTATTTTAGCTGCCTCTTTCAGGGTCACGTTCTGAGATTGTGAACTACATTTTAAACAAATAGAGGCTTGCTGCACCTGAAAGACTAACACATCTGTTATGGCCCAAGCTTTTGTGGACTAGCAACCACATAATGAAAGTTTGTACCATAAAAAATCTGAGAGTCTTCAAGGTGCCACAAGCCCATGTTGTTTTGCTGGAACAGACTCACTTAGTTATCACTCTAGCAAGTATCCTGAAGACAAAGCTAGCTTACAAAATGGGAAGAGGAAGGGGCAGGGCAATCCTATAGTCCCTAGACAGGATTTCTGGAGTCCCAGCTGTGGCATCAGAAAAGCGCTTTCATGTTGGAAAACAGCTCCAACATTCAACATTGAAACCCTGGCTTCAAGCGCCTCACAGGTAATGCAGAAAGAACTACACTGGCTGCATCTCTGAGGTCTTGAAAGTGACCTTGGAGAAGGGGTTTAGTGGCATTCCGGGGCTGGGTAGGAGAGCAGATTAGCACCAACAAGACAGGGGGTGTCCTGGTGGAGCCTCATTTTCTTCCCTCCTGCTCCAAAGCACTGCAGTTAAAAGTTGTCTGTCTTGCTACTTTGCAGGATGGGAAGAATGTATAGGCATCTTTCAGCTTGGTGCTCCTCTTGTCCTTCATAGCTTGCCATATTCCCCCATAGGATCTTACCCTAATTCATAATACATACCTAAAGTAAACAGAAGTGGCTGCTAGAAACCAGGGCTGCTAATGCTGATGCTTCTAGTTTACAGCAAGGCTGGGCAACTTGTGGCCCTCCTAATGATTCCGGACTACAACTCTCGTAATTCTTGATCACTGGTCATGTTGGTTGGGGCTGAGAGCTGTCACTGTGCAGTATCTGGAGGGTCACTCATTTTCCACTGCCGATTTACATGATGTTAATTTTCTTTAAGGTATGGAAATAAAAGCCAGTCCTAGCTCTCATTAGCTGCCCATGTCATTCTAAAATGCTTTTTGGAGATTGCTGCCAGGTGACATCCCTGTAGGTATGAGTCTCCTGCTTCAGATATTATTTTGCCCATGCATGATACGGGCAGCAGTGAAACACACTCTTTCCTTACACTCCTGCCCTCCATCTGTAAAATTCAATTTGATCCAGAAAAATTAAAAGGACCACTCTACTATTCATTCCCTATGTGTGGCCCATTCAGTACTTAAAGCTATGATCAAAACTGTTAACTTAGTAGCTACTTGTAGCCAGCCATGTCCCTGTTTTACCTGTTGAAAAAGACTGGCTGGACTTCCTGGCCCTCAGTGAGTTACAAATGAAGCTAACTTAACAACTTAAAAACTAAACTAAGTATTCTTTGCAAACATATTTTTTCCACTTAGGCTCTCATCTCCTAAAGGGAATTTGGGGGTATTTCCCCTCACTTCATTTGTTAGGAAATGAGTAAGCTATTGAACCCTCCATCTCAGCTAACCAATAGTTTCTGGAGTGTAAACAAGCATGGCTCATCTCAATAAAGAAAAGTACGCAGATAAATCAGAACATGGTTCTTTTTGGATCAATTGGCTTTAATATCTCTCTGAGACTCTCCAGGTTTACACCAGTCTTGAGTGTTTTGCTGCCTGGGGACTTCAGCACCAGGAAGGAGAAAGGGACAAAGGGCAGACTGGTTGTTTTGCGCACAGCCTGGTTAAAATAGGCTCAGCCAATAATAAAGTATGGGGTGGGGTGCAGGAGAGAGGGAAACCATTCAGTGGCTATCTCCCGGGAGCTTTTTGCAACAACACTGCAAAACTATTCAAAGGAAGCCCTGAACAGCCCCTCTGTGGCTGATCGACACTCTTACCGATGAACTCAATGGACTTGTCTAGCCATGGAAGAAGCTTCTCACAGTAATTGTCGTTGACAGGAATGCGCATGAAGTGACTGTCACAGATGAAATCTGGCTTTGGACAAGAGTTGCTGGCATTGAGGACATAGCTTATCCCATTCTGGGTCATCAGATCCTGTGCAAGAGAGAGAGGAGGAATGCCAGACAGTCAGGCCAGTGCAGGACCTTTCCACCCAGTCTTCCAGAGGGCCTGACTATGCTACCAGCTCTTCCTTTTGCTCCTCCACCTCCTCCTGTGTTGCCTGTCCTGCAATGTATGGCTGTGCTGTCAACAGAGGGTATTTCAGCTACCAATTTGGCACTGTTGGAAATTCGGAAAGATATTCAGAAATCAGTGGCTTTGCCACAATGGAAAAAACGGTTTTTGCGGGACAGCCGATTAGAAAAGGGCAAGCAGAAGTCATGCTGTATGGTAAACACCATGGGAGAGAGTCTGACACAAAGGTGCCTGAGTTACATCTTCTATTTTTTTAGTACTGAAACTCAACACTATGGTCTCTCTATCAAGTTTCCATGGCTCCATTTTTCTAAGTGGGCCCAGTGCAATAAATCTAAACTCAGCCCCTTGGAGCCAGCAGAGCTCCCAAGCCCACATTCCTGGCCTTTTTCTCCCTCATTTCCTTCTACTCCCTATATAAAATTCCACCCCCTTCTTCATTCTGCATTTCTAGTTTAGAAACTTTCACCTAACCTTCCCCCTGAGGAAAGAATGCCTGACTGGCTCCCTCCTGCCTAGGATACATGCTCACTGGTATTTTAACAACAGTTATGCTTTCTTCCTTGTAATTTTGTTATGCTTTTCTTCAAACAAAATTCTTTCCTCATAGCCCAGGCATTATGGCATCTTTCATAAATACACCGTCTGTTCCTTCCCTTCTCCCATTCCAGATATGCACTTTGGGGCCATCTCAAGAGGTTCTTTCCTTGCAGATGTGGGCAGCAGGGCCTACGCTGTCCCACAGCTCACCTCAGCATCAGTCACAGTTGAATGCCAAACTTAATACCTCATCATCTGGCCGTCAGGCTGGACATGGAAGAGCTGAGGTCAATGTTATTCTTTCGTGTAGCTGGCACTGGACCTTGGCAATAAACAGCTTGGCTCCCTTCTTATAAAATCTCTCAGGGTCAACTTTGCCGTCTTGATGTTCCTACTGCTAATATCTTTAAGACTTCAGAGGAAACTCATATACTATGTTTCTGCTTCCCTGTATACCAGTGTCCCAATTAAACAATATACTGTTTTCCATACGGGTGACCACCCTGGGTTACCACTGACGCACTAAGAAAGGCCTCTATAAGACAAGCACATCTCCCTTCTTTGCAAGGGTATACCTTATTTAAGACATCTTTCTGGGAGCCTAGATAGAGATGAGGAAGGATGCGAGTTGGGCCAACATTGGCCACGGGCATACATGGTTGGGAGATACTCATTGGCAGGATGGCTGTGGGTTTCCCTTCGCAGAGTCCTGGAAAGCAAGATGAGAAGGTGGCAAAGCCCCCTAAAGAAATGGAAACAAAACAGACAGAAAAATAATAAAAACTGTGAGCAATCATGACTTTTTTTAATAAGTTGTACTTTACCATCATACTCTAGTTAGAAACACGGAGACTTGTCCAAGTCACACAATCAGCCTGTGACAAAGATGGGGCATAAACCTAATTTTTCCCTACTGAAGAAAAAGCTTCTGTTTACTGGAATTTCCTAGCGAACGGACTTCATAATATTCCATAGTAGCCCCCTAGGCACTTATGACAACATCAAGATGTTACATGTATATAAAAGAAAATTCCTTGGTTCCCATGTCACACACTGGACTTCTGGTGACACGTGTTTTCCAGTCCTATAGAGGGCCCATGAATGTGGATTTTTCTGGAAATAATAAAGAGCTGTGCCTGGAAATACTGTCATGCTGCTCCAGGCACTGGGCTTCTGTTAACAGAGATCATGTCTGTATACATGTGTGGGTATATAATGCATTTCTTTGTGAGGAGAAATCCTTCAAATCTACAACCCTCTCCCACACTTGCCTAGTAAATTAACTGGAATTTCAATAGGATCTAATGAAACAATTCATGACACATTTTTACAGACTTTTTAAGCCCACTCTTGGCTCATTTTAATCAATACCCAAGACCTCTTCTGCACAAGTTTACCATCCCCTTCACTCCCTTGTTGCATGAAACACTTGGGGTTGTAAACTAGTTTATTCATGGTAAAATCCCATGCATGTTTAGACAGAACCCCCCCCCACCATACATTCTGGTTTGGCAATACTGGAAGTTGTATGACTTTGTTCTGTCTAAGCATGCCTAGGATTATACCGATTTAAATCAGTATGAACATACTCAGCGAAAGAACAAAGGAAGCTGTGTTGGGCCATAAGAAAAAATCCAAACTCCAGAATCAGGCCATACCTTTATTAGGACCAATCCAAATGTCACAAAACAATGAGCAAGTTTTTGAGTGCTTTAGAAGAATTCTTCATCAGTCTGACAGAACATTGCCTGGCTTTAGATTTTGGATACTCAAGAAAAGCGCATCAGATTGTGCTATGATTCCATGATATTTGAATAAAGAAAAAAAATTCTTCTAACGAATGAAGGCAAATAATTTACACTGTAGAAAAATAAACATGTTGTCTAAGTCAAAAGACATGCAATAGTTTTAACAATGTGGCCATCAGCCCTGAACACCCATCTGAGTGTGCAGCATTTTAAATCTGAGATTAATGAATCAGCTCGTTGATCATACCCATTGTTTCATTCTTTTTACCTGCTGGAATGATAGAAGGCAGAGGAGGGACTGGCCGTTCACCACTTCACTTCCTATTACAGCGTGTATCTTTCAGGACTGGCTCTCAGTCACCTGCTGATTCCAATGTATGAGAGAGCCTGTGCTGCCTACTGCAAATACCCAACATCTCTCTATTGGGATAAAGTAGTCTTTTTCACAGCACTCTTTACTGTTTTAGATACTGTCACCTCGCAGTTGCATCAGCAAACAGCAGAGATGGTTCCAGCCTGCAGATTTTTAACTGATTTCAAAGAAGCCAAGTTTCTTAGTGACTAGAAGTAGCGAAACACGCAATGCTAAGAAAAATAAATTGAACCTGCAGGGGGTAGATTTGGAGTGTGTGTATATGTAATTCTAGGAAGGCAGGAAATAAATTACCTGCACTGAAATTCAGCCAGGACTCTATGGGATAATTTGACTCTTCTTTTATAAATAGCCCCCTGAGATCTTTAGCAACCACATATGAGCAAGACTTGTCATCTGAGAAACAGCAAGGCTAGCACTTCCCACTGTTATTATGGGCTGGTTTGGAAGGGGTTGATGGAAGAGGGTTGCCTAGGTTTTAAAAATGGCCACGTTATAGGGATCCTTTCTTGGCTTCTCTGGCAAGAAACCCTTGCCAAGAATGCCATGAAAGTACGGTGCATGACAGAAAATCTAGGGGCATTTTTAGAATGTAGCCTCAGTGTACTCACTGGCAAGTCATATGGGGTGCACTATTACCCTGTAGGAAATGCAAATATGATGCTGAATCTTTAACTGGCCACTCAATCTTACCTAAAGTTAGTGTGCCAGTAGCACTATCACTGCACATACAGTGGGACATACAGTGATCCTCAAATGCATATTTGGGCTCAAGGTGGGTCCTAGGCCTGAAAGGGTTACTGAGTTTTAGAATCCCTCCAACACTTTTCTGCAGCTGCCCACTGCAGGGTAAGATATGTAGTAATGCACAAAGCTGCCTTTCAAGGAAGCCATCACAGATTTTCTCATTGAGGAGCCCTTGAGAAGTTTTAATAAACCTTGGAGTTCCCCTAAAGTGTCATTTTAAAGCCGCTGACCTAGGGCATCACTCCCATGATCCTTCAGCAGCATCGATCTGCTGCTGGTAGAACTCATCCCTCTGTCCGTCCACCATCTGCAATTGTTAGCTGATTGAAACACAGCTGCAGGCCTTTGTACTCGAAACAGACCCATGTCACAGTCACGCAGCATCTCAGGAGCACCCCCGCCCCTCCTCTGCCTCTGTGACTCCCACTCATGTCCACAGAGCTCTTTTCCATTTCATGCCTGAGTGGCTAGACAATTAAAGCAGCCCCATGTACTGCTCTAATTGGAAAAGTAAGGCCATAACCGCTGGGTAGCTGAGATGTTTGGACAGAGATGGCAAGATTTCATTTCTTAACAGATGCAGAATTTGATCTAGCAAGCAGCATCTGAATCGCGCCGACCCTGCTCTGGTGTGTAGCTTCAGGCTTATGTTTGCTTTGATTAGCTCCCTAAAATTGCAAGGAAAGAATTTCCTCTAAAACACTGATACTTAATAGCAAGAATGTGAAAGGGCTGCTTTCCAAGCTGATTGTGTTCTATCAGAATGATGCAATTCAACTGGAAGGGCCATCAAAGGTTAAGCATGAGGAACTGTTGGGTCAGGTGCACCAATTTAGAATTCAGTTTGACAAAGTTATATTACAAGGACCTGACATTCCCCACCCCAATTCTAGGCACAGTTTAAAGCCCCATTTTATACGAGGCACTGCTTAGCTTTCCGCAGCAGGAGGCAAAACTAACTGCATCTTCCTCAAAACAGCCTTGTTATCAATGAAGTAAAAGCTGGATTGCAGTCCAACACTTCATGGGTGTTTCCACTGCAGAAGCTCCCAGATAAGAAACTAAACACATTGATCTTTGGTAGGCAGCATTAACTCTCCAGTCAGCTGAACTGCTAGAAACAGTGACGTTTTTCACAGGATCTCATCAAATTTGGAATGCGAAGAGTTAATGTGTCGCCCAACACCACCTCCTGTGTGGCTCTTTCTGGCATGACATCACCCTCTCAACCAGGATATTAAATCAGTATGAATGAAACAAGATTAGCACAGGTGCACACAAGCTCTAAGTTACTCCTATCTGCCTCCTTAACACTCCCTCCCTCTTCTTGCATCAATTTCTCCAGGAAGCATAAATTATGTGGTTAAGAAGAGTATATGAAAGCATGTATAATTTCCCCCTTTCTCTTTGATTGAGGGGGGCACAGAGGAAGATAATTTAAGAGGCATCTGGAAATACTAGAAGGCATCCTATACACAGAAATGCTCTACCCATTGTCATATGAATGTATGAAGTTGTGTTATACAGAGCTAGGTCTTCTAGAGAATAGAATTTTGTATTCTGGCTGGTATAGGCTCTTTAAGGATCAAGCCAACTGTGATTGAAGCATATCTATGGGTTGAAATATAGATCTGTCCCAATCATGCAAAAAAAAGGGAGCAAATGGTCTATTTTAAACAGCAAATTTACAGGTGTAATGTGCAGAACCTGCCCCTTGCCTGCTTACCTCTCTCTACCCCATCTCCTCTTCAAACACTTTTCTCCAGAGAACACACTGCTCTTACTGGAGTCCAGCTGAGGAGGAGGTTGACAAGGATGTAGGGGGTGAGAAACAGACTGTGGATAGCTAAGGTATAGTCTGTGCTATGGATGTCACCTGTATACCCATTTTGCTCTTTTAAAAAGATGGCCTTCTCTTTCTGCATGGTTAGAACAGAGTCATGTTTAAGTATGCAGGTCTGCTGCCATGAAATCTTATTTGCCTAAAATCTTTTAACTGAAAATGCTAGGAACTTAAGTTGGCACCTTCCTTTCCTCTGTCCTTTCTTAATGACTCCTCACAGAAAACCCTGACAACCACCAGTGTTCACTGTATCTATCGGGCAAGAAGGCGGAGAAGATTTAAAAGCCAAAACCTCCCCACAGATGGAACTGATATAGAAATGAGGTTGTGTGTTCATCAGGCTACGGATTGATTTTACACTGGAAAAGATGCATACTCCACCCACCGAATCTACACTGTGCTGTGAACCAGTTGTTCATCCAGGCATCTTGTAAGGGATATGGTGCTGCAATGGTATCTGATCACAATGCAGTTACCTGCAAGATATCCTGGCTGTCTTGTGTCCTGCAAAGACAGCATCTCTAGATGCATTTTACTGGGCAGTGCTCCTCTCATTCATTTCAATAAAAACTCCCAATGGGTTTTGCTCCTTGAGGTTTTAGAATCTTTACATCATTTGACCGGTATTGCCCATTTTCAAAGGAACTTGCTTAAGCTATACAGATGGATTGCAATACCAAGGTTTTTCATAAGTAGCTTGCCCAGATGCAGGCAAACTGGCCTCTACCATCCCTACCCTACCATACAGGCTGTGAGAATTTATCACCTGCACTGTGGGCTTGGCCCCTGCCTGTCTCACATCTATTAAAAGCTTTACCTAACTCTATTCAGCTTTGGCTGTTTGTTTGCTTTGCTTAAAGGAAGAAGAGATGACATCAGAATTAAAGCAGGATACGACCTGTAATGCCATCTTCCCTTCCTGGATTTGTCTGCCAGTAAATCAACTGTCAATTTTGTGGGCAAAAATGCAAGCAAGCATCCAGTGAGGAAATTAGTGCTCCGTAGTACATTGCCCTTCTATCGCACCTTTG